CTGCTGAGGAGTCCCACAATAGGACAAAATGACCGTTCAGTGCTTCCAGAAATATTATTATTACTCAAAAAAATGTTAACGATTTGTTTTTATTCATCGTCTCTTTATGATCACTTACAACCTTACCGACCCCCCCCCCCAACACGTCACCACTTCTCCCTTTTACTTTCAATATATGAAGTGAAATACAAAACATTCTTAACTATTAACTTAAATATATAGTTTCTTCATGTTTCTTAAGATTTTTGTTGAACTAAAGTTCATTAATTACGGTATGTAATAATATTTGTTATAATAATATTTCTATAGTTGAGATTATGAGTCAATCGAAGTTAGACTACCATGGAAAACCTGGAAGCACTGGACGGCCGTTTCGAACTATTGTGGGAGTCCACAGCAGTGAGCATGCACTGACTCATGATTTCAACTATTAAAATTACTACAGTCTCCACAAAACCCCTTCTAATAATATTTCTACAATACATATAGGCTCTTTGCAGTTGATGAGAAGCCTTGAAATATAATGAACTCATTTTATTCTGTTAATATTGTTCTTCTTTATTAAGATAGAATAATTAATTCAAGCATCGCTTGTATGGGACTGTTTGGAAGTATGAACTTACGACATCATCATTTAGTTGTGGTTCAGTAGCCCTACATTTCCAGATTTAATCACTTCATGACCAGTGGAGTTCAATCGGGTCTGTTGTGAGACAGTAACTTATCGAAGACAATGGTGAATGGTGACATAATTTCGTGGTTTGGTTGAAGCTAGACATTAACACCGTCGGATGCCGGCTCAGTGGTCTAGACGTTAAGCGTTCGCGCGTGAGACCAGAGGTCCTAGGTTCGAATCCCTCAAGCGGGATCGTGGACGCACCGCTGAAGTCCCACAATAGGATGAAACGACCGACCAGTGCTTTCAGTGGTGATCTAACATCAATCGGTTCGTTATCTCAATCAAAAACTTAATAATTCCCACAAATCCATATTGGTGTGTTATCGTCAATTGTCTCTGACTTTTTATTTACAATTTTTAAAATCAATATTTTCAATAATTCTGTTCAATTATATTGATTTTTGGGTGAACAAATCCATAAATAAGACTCTAAACTGTCTGCTTAAATATATGATTTAATAATAATAATAATAATAATAATAATAATAATAATAATAATAATAATAATAATAATAATAATAATAATAATAATAATAATAATAATAATAATAATAATAATAATAATAATAATAATAATGAACTAGGCACAGTGATAAAGGATGTTGCGTAAAACAAATCGAGAAAACCTTATCGATTATAAAACGGTTCAAAGTCATAATCAATCATTTAGTTTTATTACCAGTATAGTTAGTTTTATGTCACATTATGTATATATATATGGTGTCGAGATAAGTAATTTATAACAACAAACAGAAGTGGAATGCCTAGCAACAGCAGCAGCAGGTTGGGAAGATCGAGTCGAAGAGAACGGGAACAGAGAGTAATTTTTATGGCAATAAGAGACGATGAATTTTGAGACATTTGATGGAGGATTTGCAGATGGAGTTTTGAATGCATGGTTTTCACATTATATATATATCTTGACGGCAACTGTTCAGGGATAAGAATATGAGCTGATCTAGTTTAATGAGCCAAAAGAAGACAACGATACAGGAATCTGGAACATATACTCCAACATATATGACAATGAGATAGCTCCACTAATTCCTTTTAGTTTTCAGTTTTTCATCTGATTATTTCTATTCGCTCTCCTATTGTAACAGCTTAGACTAGTACATGACTGTGATAGGTTTTAAATTGTTTTTGCTTATCTGTAACTGGAGCCGTAAAAATGGAGTTCCCATGATATTTGACCATCAGTCAACCATATATCGCTGGTACAACTAGTGAGATCGATAGAATAGTTAGCCCTGTCGATAGGAATTAAAGAGTTGGAAGTTCGTGCGAGTTGTAGCAAATCTACGTTTGTTTGAATGTGGTATTTGTTAAACATCATTATTTAGTGCGAAATCCTGAAGTAACATGGAAGCTTACAACAAATAATCTATCACCAACTTATAACAGACATTTTTAAATCAAATTTTGAATGAATATAAACACTTGCTACTTTAATGCTTTAAACTTTGATGATAATCAAATTAAAAATTGGCATAATAAATATAACAACAGGTGTGGTAGACAAAATAACAACATTACTATAGATTGTTGGATTATAATACTGATTGATATTAGTTAGAAAACCACTGACAACCAGGAAGCACTAAACACCAGTTCAGTTTTAGTATTGAACTCCTTAGTGTTGAGCATCCATGACCTTCGGTCTTGTACGAAAGCCCTTAGCCTCTAGACAACTGAACTAGGATCCACTAGTATATATGTCTAAATTTAATCAATTGTGATATTGCACATGAACACTATTGATCACCGATTGTGGTCTAGCAGTTAAGCATCCATTTCTAAGGTTGAATGTCCTGGGTACGATCCTCGATGGAGTCGGGTATGCGTAAAGCAGATAAGTCTCGTGCATAGTCTAAACAGCTTTCCAGTGTTTCCAAAAGTTTTCCAAGATCGATAAGGGTCGTAATGTGTTAAAATAATATCACTGAATATTGCAAAAACAGAAGTCAGACGCGGAACAGTTCTGTCATAAGTATTAAATATTCTTTCTTTTTAAGTTTACTTTAACCTGAGTACGGAGAACTTTAATGAATTAGATTTTCCATCACTTCGCATTTGGCCACAAAAGTTTGCGGTTTCTATGATGCACTCAGGGAAGACTAGGTGTGGGTTTTATTTCGTTAGTAGATTTTTCGCTTTACCAAATAAGTTACAGGGCCAACAGTGTCATATGTAGAACCCGTTACAATAACAACTATGAAGGATAGCCAGGTGACGGATACTCTGAGAGCAGTCAACACAATTTATCATTTGACTAGATTGCGAAACTATCCATGCGATAGTACAACTGTGTGGCATAGTAACTACGCCAACTTTGGCAGTTCGAAAGAGCCCTTGAATGCCCTCTGCGCTTCTTAGATACTTTAAGAAAGGCCTACAAACGAGGCTTTCGATTTTATTAAAAGTAGGTTTCACCAACTCCATCAAGCTGGTTTTCACAGTAGGATCATTGTGTTCCTTTGAGGTTGATCTCAACAAATGTCTCTCAACTTATTATGTCACTCGGGAATTTTTATCAGTAATAGACCGACCTATCAGAGCCACGAGTATAATCTGTTTGAGATATTCTAGACTAATCTTATATCTGGAATACATTCAGTATGAAATAATATAGCTGAAAATAGTTCTCAATTCAGAATTGGTTGATGGAGGGAAAATGAAAATACAGTATGAATGACCTAAACATATTCGATTTGATTATTAAGAACGGTTGAATGGTCTTCATACATTGCACACATGTGTACGGTCTATCTATTAACTAAATTGCAGATCGACAACTAATCACAATATCTAGCCTTATTATACACCATGAAAACACCATAAACATTCCAAATCTCAGAAGCCGAACTTTGAGTTGTTATTCAAATAGGTGTTTTTATCACCGAGCTAAAGGTGATCTTCTTTCAAAGTGTTAGATAAATACTTAATAAAGTTATTTAATAGAAAAGAACACATTACGTCGGATAATAGAAGCAGATATGAATAGGAACTGGAAAGGATTGCCCAGGACAGGGTTGGATGGAGAATGCTGGTGAGCGGCCTATGCTCCTTCACGAGGAGTAACAGGCGTAAGTAATAGAAAAGTAACACACCCTTTACCAACATCTTGGGAGCTCTGAACATTTTTATGGTGTAAACGGTTAAGAATAAATCACGTTTATATGTTCATCCACCGTCTACCTCGAAGTGCGTTTGTTGTCTAGTGTGGAAGGAAGCTGTCAAATCAAGACATGTCATCAGTACATGAAATCATGGACTGTAATTCTAAGCCATGTTGGTGGGTGTAAGATGCCTGATGGAGACCCACATGATAAAGGCTATGATCGATTGAAGACATGAGTCAGAAGTAGTTACAACGATCCAGGTCCATTTATTTTAATACTAAACTTTATTTATTGAATACTTCCTATATACCTTTTCATCCCATCTTCTGGAATCATATTCTCAGCGGCCAACCTTTCTCATTTCAATTCTTCTCATTTATCTATGTCAATCGTTTCACATTATATCTTACCTAAATGTGAAATCTTAATACAGATTTGGTTATAAGCAGCTGATGAGAAACCACGAAATATAATGAATTCACATTATTCTGCATCCATGTATGTTCTGTTCTGGCTTTATTTAAATTTATAAAGGGAACTAATTGCATAAAATTTCTCACTATTATTGTTGTGATTATTACCGCTTCTTCGATATCTATTTTGTTGATTTCATCTCCCCGTGCTGACATGGTGTGATGACTTAAGCTAATGCATATTTATGCCAAGCTCCATAATAATTAAGAAAGACTCATTAAGGGACAGAATCTGTTCATGATACCATTAGTAGTTAGAATGAAACATTTCAAGAGGAGCAGATATTCACATTGGTAAAAGTGATATGGCATAAAATCGGTTACAATACCACCGAGCTGAATTTATCATTCACATTCCCCTCTAAATTGATACTTTCCACTCGCTAATCTCAGTAGTTTCATTTGAAATTAAATCTCTTATATATTAGTATTCCTTAGTATGATTCTTGTAACGATCAACTAACGATCCAGTAGGGTTAGTGATAGATGATATGGAGAGCCAATAAGGAGTAGCCTAATGAAAAATTTAATCGATGGCAATTACAAGTCGCCTAAAGGTCAAGTGTATTTCATCGGGTAGCCCAATACACTTTCTCGCTCAAGTAGTCAGTCGGGGGGGAGGGTTAACACGTAGCCCACCTTGTTAGTATCAGATTTCGGACACAGCACATTACAATAGATGACACTCATGAAATCTAATCAAAATGAAACATTAAAAAAAATTAGTAACTAAATAGTATTTAATAAAAATTCATAAACAAAAATAACCAAAGAAAACTTGGCAAAATATCACAAATATCCATCACATACACAAAAAGTAATAATCGGATTGATACCTTAAATGATACATGTTCATACAAGTATGTGTCAATACATATACATAAACGAAGTAATCAAAAGTAGATACAGTTATTTGAAAATATAATAAGAACAAGAAAACACAAAAATTTATGCCACTTGCCTATGCATAAAATACAATAATAACATGAAACACAGCCATCTATATAAACTTCAAATTATAATGCACCTAAATCACTATGGTTATATATCACAAATTTCAATATCACACCATGTAGAAACAAAGTAAGAGACTGAAAGAATAAGCCACTAATAGATTACTAGAATAAAAATTTTAAGCATTCTTAAGGATATTTACTATTTGGTTGACGAAGTAAATTTAAAAAAGTTTTATCATCTATATGTTGAATAGAAAATCGATTATATTCTTCATATTCTTCATCATTATCATCATCATAACGACTGACATTGTAACTATTGGGAACATTACTATCCCGTATATTATAATCAAGTAATCGTTGTCTATCTGTTGTTTGTTTAATTGATTCATCTTTTAAATACATTTCATAGAATTTATTTTTTGTTTTTATTTTATTTTTTAAAGTGTTCATCTTATTTAATTCAATATTACAATATTGTTGTTTTTGTTTATCATGTTGAGATTTATTACGTAAACGTCGTTGAAGTAGAAATGAATTTGGTTGATAAATAGAATGTTTTAACTTATTATTATTATTATCATCATCAGGAAATAGATAATCTTTAGATGAAATACATGTGCATATTATGTATACAATTGATACGGTTGTACAACATAATAAAACAATTCCGACTATTATTTTGATTGATCAAGTTTTGGAGAAGAGAAGAACACAAACAATAAGATGAGATAAAAAAGCATATACTATCATCAAAAGTAATCTCTCTCGCTATATATATATATATGAAATCATAGACTTATAGTCAAGTAGCCCCCAAATGCCCTGGTATAGCCGAGAGTAGAGTGGGCCCGCTCTCCCTCTCGAAATGCTCTCACACGGCCACGCGTACACAGTCTCTGCCAGGGGAGTCCTACTCACTGCCTTCTCGTGGCGGGGGTGTCGTTTACGGAATTGAGAGGACGAAAAGCGAATGTCCGGCGCTTTAGCTGGGTTGGTGGACGCGGAGAGTCCACATAGGGGAGTTGGAAAACCCTCATTCCAAACCAATGGTGCGCATGGGCTCCAGTATCCTGCGGGAACAAATGGCGTATAAAACAATCCTTGGTCACCGGCTACCATGGGACTGCATCTCCTCACAATACTCCATTGCCTTGTGGGTCAGAACTTTAGGTTGAAGGCTCCGGATGTGGCCCCTTAAGAAAACCATTTGCTTCGGTTTGGGCACCCAGGCAGTACACAGCCCTCACACATATCAAATGAGGTCTGTGTGGCGTATATCTACTTGGTGCCTCCTTGTACCAATATTTATGTGTTTAAATAAATAAATAAATATAATCAAGTAAAAAGGATGTAACATTAGTAGTATATGAATGAACAAGTGAACAATTAGGTTAGGTTAAAACAGTACCAGTTAAAATGAGTAAACAGGTACTCGAACAAATAATTATGATACGATACCTATGTAGTAAACGAGAGCTCGGGTAATGTGAACCAATTTATTGTCTTTTTTGTGTGTAAAATTACACACGACATCTTGTCAAAATATGGAAGCTATACAATGATCACATTATTTGCACATTCTTCAGTTGTTATTTCCATACTTTGTGATTGTTCTAATTATGTTGTTATTTCAATTGTTCTCTGTTTCCCTTCCTGTTTTTTCTTAATTCAATCTTCTCTTGGCAGATATTGCACTCGCGACTGGTGATATATACTACTTATATGTGCCGGGATAAATACCATACACCACACTTATATTATACTGTGCAAACAGTAGATTGATAAGGATATTATTAGTAACATAGGTGGATAGCTATCTTATATAATGGGTGATATACTTGACATACGGTTTATTGAATAGGAGGTTTGAAATCCACTTCACTTAATCCTCTTATGAGAAAATATGTAATATTAATGAACAGAACTTATAGTGTGATTCATAAATGGGTGGACAAATTACTACGTAATGGCTAATTTTTACTAAGTTGAATTAGAATAATTCGTAACTCTTGATATAATATTCGGATTAAGTTATAATACAAGAGAACTGTAATATGTATAATACTAGTCTAATATTTATGATAATGAGCCGACATTTACTGTATGAATCTTGGGGATGTTAGATCTCCAGAACTAACTTGGTAAATGTCTTATTTTTGTAACTTAATTTTGAATTTCATGTTCTCGCATCAAAAGCGCCCGTTTTCACCTTCATGTCGTTGTCCCCACTTGGGAGGAACTTAAATATCATCGGTTCGTTGTCTTTTTTAATCTGCTACTTTGTAACGTTTCCCAAAGACATTTTTATGCTGTATATATACGCTTAAGTTGTGCGTGCTTCTAGCTGCTTGTGAATACATTTCCCTCTTCTGAACCTGGACTTCACTCAAGTTAGACGGGCTGGAACGCCTCAGGATAGCTATCTTATTGGTTATTGTGTTGTTCAGTTTTCGTTCCGTTCGCAGATTTAGGCGAACTCGTAATCTCTTCAAACATAGCAATTAGCAATTAAGTTATATATATTGATTAATAAGTTTTGCATCTCCGTAAGAGTGCTGAGGGTACATTTATGCCACATGCTTAGTAACTCTGTATATGCTACCAGTCTGTATATTTGTAGAGAATTTATGCCTACGAAAATTGATTTTGCTATGCTATGGAGTGTAAACAATCATTAATGTTGTATTGAAAAATCGTTTCACGGATACACATATCTATTCTATTACACTGAAAGTTCTGCTTTTTAAAAAAATCAGATTTGTCCAAAATGATTAGAAGTCATCTTCCAGATAGAATAGACTTATAGTTATTACTAGTGTTACTTAGTAATGTTTTGTATCAACCTGATCATGCCTGTAAAATGACGTATATTATGCAATAATTCTCGGAATCTATTATTATTATTATTACTTATGCTATCTGAGTTCCGTATTAAATACTTTGACGTAGAGTAAAATAGGAAATCGATAACTAACTTCAAGATGGAACTTTTAGATGGCTTTCAAAGCATAACAGATTATATGGAATTCAAAATCCTGATTTCATTTAAATATCTTCCAACCATATATCTTAAATCACAATAGATAATTCCTATTGTTTTATGTATCAGCTCCTAATGGCCTTAAAGATAAAACAGTTGACTAGATTTTAGGATTGTTATGTTATGAGCTGTTGTTTGTCTCGGTGTATTAGTCAGCTAATATCCGTAACTGATATTAATATTCTATTGTACTGATCTATCCTTATCCTTCATAACAAATGACATACATCCTAATAAAATGAACATAGTAACGAGTAACTCCGGAGACACTGTGTATTTTGTGTAATCAAAAATGGCAAAATGTTTTGTGACAGAGAACGTGATGGTGAAGACTCGAGTTATACTGAGGATTTAGAAGTAGACCACACATACTTGGATTTAAATAACTCGTGGAGAATAGGGAATGTTATGTTTGAAGAGATCATGAGATCACTTAAAATCGGCGGACGGAACGAAGGGTCAGAGACACAAAGACAAGACAAACTAATTACTCCGATGCGTCCCAGCCCTGCTACTCCAGGGAGAAGACTTGGTTCAGATAAAGAAAATGTATAATCTAGAAGCAGCCAGAAGCACGAGGAACCAAGTATATATATTCATCATAAAATAGCGTATTAAAACAGGCAACGAGTCAATGACATTTACCGTCCTTCCAAGTGGGAAATACAATCTAAAGGTAAAACTGGGCACTTTTAGCGCGAAAACGAGAAATCCAAACTTCCAAAAACTACAGAAATAAGACGTTTATCAGGTGATTTCTGGGGATCTAGCATCTCTAACACGGGAAAATGTAACAATTACAAAGCAGTAGATGAGAATCTGTCAACATTGTATGTGCGTGGTGAGTGACAAATAACTTCGAGCAAACTATTGAATAAACTAACCAGTGAACATATCCAGAAAACTCGAGAAGTAGACATTAACACCACTACCATCATGAAGGAGTGACATCACACGTGATAAACTACCATTGTTTGGAGCTGGTTTATTTAAATTGAGTAAGGCACACATCAGTGGATAAATATCAATCAGATGAATAGAACTAATTATTTGACCGCCACCAACAATCGTGCTCCTGAAACCTGGTCCCGTAGCTAGAAAGAATGGAGACATTTCATCATGGTCCGGATCATAACCATGATCTCCACGTTTAGCTGAAATACAGTAAACAAGGAGCATTACTGAATGAATCCAATATATAACTAAATAGAATTGACCAGGAGATTGAAATCTAATGAGTAATTGTATTAAGGTGAATAGCGTAGTGTCAAAACTAAATGAATGGCCTTATTAATCACAGAATAAATATTTGAATGTTAGAAGGTTCAATTACATCTGACGACCTACTATCAACGTGTTTATCGAGAATAAATGAAGTTATCATAAGGTGAGGTTTTATGATTTGTTGAAATTTCCAATGGCTAAGAAGGATCAAAAGAATACGGATCGATAGATGATGCAATACAATGTAGTACAGTAATGAATTTTCACAGGACCGAATTATTGATGTAAATCCTTGAATAATTTGTAGTTTAAATTAAGGCCGCTAGACAAAAGTACGAGTTTTTCTTGCGATCGAATAGTATATTCATATAATAATTATTAACAGGAAAATAACACGACTAAATATTATAAACGACTGACCAGTATTAATTTTTCGGGTCGTTCACTACCCAATGGATCAAGTCCTAACTGTTGAACCTAATTCTATCTCATCATATCAAAAATATGACACAGACTATAACCTATGATCCATACTTTTATAAACGTTACTGACGCCAAATGACTGTCCAAGACTGAACAGATGATGCACAGTCCGAAGTTGTGATCCATTTTTAAAAATAGTGCCTGAAGCAATAAGACAGAAGTGACTTTATTTACCACTATAAATATGTGAACAGATGGGATGTCAAGACCTAGATATATTAAAGATTTGATTAAGTGAAATGATCCATTTGAGCTTCTAAAATTTTGATTGTTACTCTTAGACAGAACGACAGGTGAATACTGGCAAGTTGGGGTTGGTATGAAAAACGTGGCTATATGTTGTAAACCTTGGGTAAAATAGCTCGAAATTGGTCGAAATGGAGTAGATGCATTCACTGTTTGTTTACTCCCAAAACGTATGTTTCAAAACTCAATACTTTTTGTTCTGCGAATATATTCTTTACAGCAAATTACTTTCTTTAAACCCAGTATTTTTGCTACCACTGATACTTTGGTATGCATTTTGATAATTTCATCTCACTGTGTTCATATTGCATGTGAACTTTGAACGATGCATATTTGCTTCGGGCTCTACATTACTGTCTGATTGATAAGACAAACTCTATAACTGTTTCTTGAACATACTCAAGTCCAGGCATCCGTGAAAAATGGGTTTATGCATAAACGTAACTTAGCTTGAAATCTTCAAAACAATCGATAGTAGTTCTATGATTCAATTTTATTGTTCAAAAAATACGAATGGTCATAAGATAACAGATTTTGCAATGCAGCAAGCAGGAGTTTAATATTATCAATTTTAGATGAAAATATAAAGGAATCATCCGAGTACCTATCTTCCTTCATTTATACTTTTGATTTTGGCTAACACAACCAATTTGATTTTTAAAAGTTGAACAAGAATAGTTTATATCAGAAATTGGAAAAATTTTAGGATAATAAAATCAAATGAAGCTGTTTATGTGACCAAAACAAGTAAGACGACTCGCATATCAATACTTAAAATACTATACTTACTAAATTTCGCAACCGATTTTCGTGATCTAACGATTGTCCACCCCGGCTCCGAATAAACTACCACTGGGCTTATTCGTCGATTATTCGAGTAGTGTAAACGAATAGGTATATTATCCTTCAGAAAAACATTCATCTTTGGATGTTTTCCGACCAGTCTTTTGTAGAGATTAATAGATGAGCTCCCTTTTAACATTTAGAAAAGTTTATATGAACGGACAAATTACCATCTTTTGGCCATAATGACCAAAACACACGATCCTCTGACCCCGGACTATAATACATGCTCTCGTTGATATAATCATGCAGAATAATTATTCTGTTAGCATCTACTCCAGACATCCCATGGTCACTTGTTAAAATAATGTTAAGTGATGACTTTAGAGATGGCCTAGTATCAATTAAAGATAGTAAGTACCCAATATCATCATTTAACTTCTCGATAACATTAAAAATTTCAACAGAATCAGGTCCGGTCAAATGACCCTGTGAGTCAGGTTCATGAAAATATATTAGACCAAGTGTCACTTCATCTAAATTTAACCACTTAATGGTTTGATTAATTCGATCAATTAAAGGAAGTTGATGGTTATATTGGGAATAATAAAAACTAGGTAATTGTCCTTTGAATGGTGTACTACTCCCTGGCCAAAACGTAACAGCACTTTTATGACCATGACGTTGATTTGTAACCCAAATTGGTTCAGACCCAACATCAAACCACTTTAATTGTGATAAATGCCTCGTATTACTCAAGTCGAAAGTATCATTAAGCTCAGGATCATAAAACACATTATCAACAATACCATGACTCTCTTCATGCATCCCAGTGACCAGTGATAAGTGATTTGGTCCTGTTCGAGTAATAAACTCATTATGTACTTTCATAACACGTATTCCGGTCTTCCAAATCCGTTCAAAAGAGGAAATGTTGACATTCCGAAGCTTAGCACGATCTAGATAATTATGACTGAAACCATCTAAAGATATTACAAGTAATTTTTGTTGTATATAAGCCTCACAAATCCCTTGGAGCAAAATAAAAAATGGTATCCAGACAAAACAGTGGCAGAAGCATTCCATAGTTATATAGTAACTATTCTGAAGGAAATTGCTTCAAAGTAGGAACATATGGAACAAATTTTCTAGTATGATTTTTCTATCGTTTGGTTTAATGCCTTCGTGTATGGAGAATAACAATATTCACTTCCACTAGCCCATTAAACAGCATCTGGGACTAAAAAAAAGAAAAGTCAAGATTGAACATCTTTATTTTAAAGTGCTATAAATTTGAAAATTGTTGTATTGATAAACTACCATACCATCTTACTTTGGATTTGATAGTAATCGGATCATTGTGAAACTCCTTTGAATATGTAGTGATAGATACTTACAACGAACGAAATTTTAAGCTTATGAAGTATCTTACTAAGAAATGTTACCGTTGTATGGATAAATATGATTCTACCAGTACAGAGTATATTTGATATGGGAACTAGCCCAAATACTCGGACTGTGAGAAAATCGCAATAAATTTCCCAGTTTTAGATTCTCAACAATCACTAATTGCTTTATATTTCCTTGTGAAGAGTAAAAATAAGAAGTAAACTGATGAGATTAAGTCCTCGTTAACTGACTGGTAAGGCAAATATCACCATAGCCCAGATACGGGAGGAGCTGGTTGCTGTAAACTAATTTGAAGAACAGATGAGTGGCCAAACCAAAAAGTGGAACTACTTCGTGAAGTCATTGGTTGTAGGACTACATCGTGTTTACAGCTACAAACTGTCACACTGCGTTAGGAGCGATATCATAATTTACGGACGAACTGATCGTATTTAGGATGACTAGTCTTAGATTCAGAAACGAAATTCACTCATTCATGTGGCTGATGTCAGTTCATGATGAAGACCCCAACTCTAATTCCCAACCCTAAATTCTAAACATAAATTCTAATCCTAATAACTCACACTGGTTTGTAAACCTCATTTAACACAAGTAGGTGGACACTTTCAATTTCACTTTAGCGTCACCTAAGTGTCGTTCATAAACTAGTTTCATCTAGAATTCAGGCCAACTCATTCTTCAGACACTCAGAAACCGGCTAATAACACTTTTCAGATGCTTAAACTGAAGTAAGTGAAGAGATCAGACCCAGGAGTCAGAAGATGGGATTCGAACGTCTCAACCACAACTACACTGTTAGGCTGACAAGAAACAACCACCCAAAAGACAGAAATAAGTTTTTCGACAGAATCAAGATTTTTCATATTACATATAGTCCTGGAAAGCCTTACCAACACAAACACAGCCATAAAAACACATTTGATGACCCTAAACCTGAATAGGGCGGAAGGTTTAAATTGTCTTCGTACGACATCCAATATCGTCAAGACGAATTTACATAATTTAATTAATTCTTTGTTCTAGATACTTGATGCAGTGACATAGATTCAGGAAAACCATGTCGTCCAGTGTGTGTGAACAAGCCATTTAACTGTCTAGAAGCTCTGTGTTTGATTCCAGTTGGATTGTATACTGGTTGTTGTAGAAATAAAAATCCCACCTACCTCCGTATATATTTATCGACATAATCCACATTAGAGAATAACGGGATTAAATAATTAGATTTTATGTACTCATGTTGAAGAGGGGAGAGCGAAGCGGGTCGGAGAAGGCAAGTGAGACAACTCGATTTAATAAAGCGTTCAGATTCATATTTCGGTTCAGATTTGTGTAGTAAGAAAAAAACACTTATTTCCCATGTTACTCCTTTTCTAGCGTGACTCTATGAGTGTCTGTTCTTCTCTTGAATGAGTCAATTAAAGGTGCAGGCACTACTGCTTCGGGTAACGGGTTCTCAGAATTGCTGACTTAGTGTTAAAATCTGTGTGCAAAGGGCATTTTGTTGATTCCTCGCCTTTATACTCGCCTGTGTAAATCACCAGTGTAGATGATCTATCTCGAATGACTGGAGGCTTATTAGAGTTAGACGGGAATTGTGTGACGAACCAGCTAACGTCGAAGTCACACCTCGCGGTCAGCACCTTACATGGATTACCCCATCGACGTATCGAGGTACTATAGATGCTTTGAAGACTGTATAACACAATGGACATTATTACAGAAATATCTTAGTTAAAGTAGATACAAGTGAAAGTAAGACCACCGCCGCATGGGCCAGTCCATGGCGTACGATTAACTGATGCGTGTTGGTTGTCCTTGACCTTTACGGGGATCGATGATTTGTTCAATATTCAGTGACCCAACTGCCTAGTTATTTGGTTGGGGCTCAGTGACATTTCACTGGCCGTACACCTACTATGTCCTCTGAGATGTTTCGATCTATTGTGAGTTTCTTTTGAAACAATTGCTTTCAGTCTGAGCCCAGTTCTCAAGTTTGGGCTCTATTAAGGTTTTGTATACTGCAATGAACATGGTAGTATCTAACTTAGTAAATGTCCCTCTTAAAGCCCATAGGGTTCTAAAATTCTTGTCTTCTGCCTCTCGGCAATGGGCCGTGGTCTTAAGATCATGACTCACTGTCACCTCAAGATCCTTGTGAGACCGAACCACGGGTATAGGCACTTCTCCTATATTGTACATATTTACCCTTGTATTCCCAAAGTGCATGTAGACATACTTCGCCGCGTTGATAGCCGTCAGCTACTACTCAGTCCAGTTAGGTCTTCCTGAAGTACGTATGCATCTGCGTTTCCTGTTATTTGTCGCTAGAGTTTTAAATTAGCGTATAGTAACACTGTGGACTCAATTATACTTGGAAGTTCATTTAAATACAGCATAAAAAGTGAAGAACCTAGGAAAAAACCCTGAGGTACTTTACTAAGTACTGGTCTCCAGGTGAGGCATATGGAATTCGCTATTGCTTTCTGTCTACGACCTACTACGAAATCCTTAAGCTATTTTAGGAGGGGTCCGGCAATACCTATATTTTCCGGCTTCAAGAGCAGTCTGTTTGTCGGCACCTTATCAAATGGTTTGCTGAAGTCTATGTTGACAACATCCACTAATTTTCCATTGTCTAGGGTCTTTATCCATTGCTCGATTGCTATAAGGAGGTTTATTGTGCAAGATAAACCTTTTCTGGAACCATGATGTTGGCTGTCTAACTAGTTGTTGGTTTCCACGACACTGGAGGGGCTAACGGGTCTATAGTTCGATGGAAGTTGTCTTGGTCCTGTTTTATGTATGAGAGTAACGATTGCACCCTTCCACACCATATGTAACACACCTTGGTCGAGTGACATATTAATTATCACAATTGTTGTGGCTGTAACATATTGTGCAATTCCTCTCAGGGGTTTGGGATGCAGTTCATCAGGTCCTGTTTACTTTTCCGTGGCTAAAATGCAAGTAACCTTAAGCACATCGTCTTGATTAAAATTCACGGTGAGCAGATGGTTTTTGACATTGTATTTGGGTCCGTTTCTTTGTCTAGGATAAGTTCCCGTGTGAAAACTGCCCCAAATAGTTTGTTCTAGCCTCTACTTTTTCTTGATCATCCTCTGTCACTTCAGATCTACTCCCTTACGCAGTTAGGCCACGAATCCAATGCTGCATCTCTTGGGCTGCTTGATTGCAGATTGTGCCAACTGAATTACAGATTTTCTGTGAGCTTCTCGAATTTTTATTTATCATAAAAGTCGTAAATGGCAAAGCTATCACTAAAAACTTTTTGTCACAGATCAATAGTTGTAATTTCATGAATTTCATAGATATCTAACAAAAACTAAACACGAGTGTAGCTGTGAGAGCCATGTTTTCAACTCAATTTTCTGATTATGCAGTTAATCAATTATTGATATTAGTGTCCATGCTTTGAATACAAACTAAATATGAACATTAAGTTGAACAAGGGCCACAAATCAGTCCATTTTAAATTGAGGTTATGAAATCGATACAACGTGTACAATATCATTATAGATGATATGCTGTATCAATATTGTTTACTTTGTAGCGGTAAATAAATCCCCAAAATAAATAGCTCTGTAAGTTTTCGACATTGGATGCTGACCATGTGTTTTAGTGAACTCATCTAGCTAAAGGCGCTCGGCCAGGCATCCGCACCAGATCACGTGTGGTAACGCCGTGCTCAACTGCTACTGCAATCGCTAGCCAGATTAGATCAGAGAATTCCGATATATTGGTTATCGCCAAATACACTCTTCCGATCTCCTCGACTCTGTCTTTTGATTTCTCTTGGTGGGAACGAATTATATTAGGTGTTGCTGGTAAAAGCGTTGTCAAACACTGAATACCTGTGTCATTTTCAACTTAAACAAATGAAAATTAGTACAAGGAAACACCAAATACATATGAACCACACTTTGTCACTCGATTTGTATGACGAGAACACTCCACCAGTTTTTCGCATAGAGGTCTAGACTACAAGGCAGTGGAACAACGTTAGGAAATAGACTTTCATGGTGGCTGATGACCAACAATATGTTCCCACGTCATTTATTTTTTCAGGATCCGGAAGCTTGTTGAATTATGGTTCACTATGATATTAGTACTGCTTTCATAATAGACTTAATCCTAAAATTGCAGATTCGTCATGATATAACTGCAGATAGAACAATGTATTTAATAGGAGTAAAAGCAAGTTGTACAGAGCGACCACACCTTTGAGGCTGAGCCATGCCATCAGGTCAATCCGAATTCATTCGATTAATTGTTCCAGCCTTCTTCATCGTTGGGTTTTTCTCCGCATCAAATGTTGAACATCTATTTTCTCAAGTGTCTCGTGTTCAGCTTTGAGGACTGTGTGGATAGTGTCCAGTGCCAGTACAAGCTCACCTGCATCATGTAATTGGAATCGGGATTTTCCAATTCCCATTGGTAGATCCTTCATATCCACCAACCCAATTAGAGCTCCGTGTATTGTTGGGGTGACCCAGAAAACTTCTCGCAAAAAACAAGAAAGAACTCAGGAAAAACTAGAAAGCATTTTTATACAATGAGCGTTCACAAGAAACATAGAGAAAATGAAAAGTCACATGTAGAGTTTTTGATTGGCTGATTACTTATACTGCTTGTATGTTTAGTAGCTTTCCGGAATTTTCGGGAAAACCAAGGAAATCTAAAATACTATAAAAACCCTATATTTTCTGTACTAAAACGAACCTTTGAAGTAAAGTGTTTCTCGTTTATTTTGCGCCTTTTCTCTCATGTTCAGGTTGTTGAGTAGTTCTAGCTTGGGAGTTACTAGAATAGCTTGAGAACCGAATACAGCATCCAATTAGCAAGACTCATCATTTATTCGCTTTTCGTCTTCTCACTTTCGCAAACATCACTCTCGCCGCGCGAAAGTGGTGTGTAAGACTTCCTTAGGAGCGACTTTGAATGCATGTGAAAGCATCTCGAGAGGAAGAGCGATCTCTTTTAGTGGCCCGTGGATCTGACTCCAAGATCGTATAAATGTTTGTTATCGCCTATTCTCGTATATAATCGTCGACTTAAATCACGTTAGCCAATAACGGAATTAAATAAGTCAAATAACGAGAATTGACCTGTGCATGCATATATTTTGTATATGAGACGAATGAAACAGAGCAAAGCAAAGTGACACCCAGGGAAGATGGCTGGGTAGCCAACTCCATTTTAGTCAAGCGTTACTCAATATTTATAGTCAGACAAAATAAAGCTACAGACATGTGATTAATGGAATAAGAAGGGCACACGCATATATACGCTCATATAAAAACAGTCAAGACTGACAAGCGAATAATTGACAAGGTAAACATATGACTCAAGTAGAATGAATGGATTGGTTTGTCCAAAAACTAGAATAAGGTATATGGGCTTAAAATAATAACTGACACTACACTATCACCACTACTGGTCGTGTCAGTTTATTCGAATATGTGTGTAAACATTTGAAAGACTGACTAAATAATGTTCTGAAACAGTTTGGACTCATTCCAATACAATGCAGATTAAACCAGTTTAGAGTGTTCCTGGATTTTCTACACTATAGTACAATCGCCGGTTACTCTATTGCTAGTGTCATTTCCATTGCTATAGAATTGATGATTATTTGAATTTAGAGTATTAACACAAATTCAGTTCCTGTATTATTTCAGTATTAATATTATTTCAGTTTGCTTGTGTCTACTCAGTTTGAGCATTATTGATGTACATTCTGGCTAGAAGTTGATGTCCTCTTCGAACCCTGAGCAAGAGTTGCACCTTATCTTCGCAAATATACTATTTATAAAGCACCGGTAATTAAGAAGGATAGGTATTTATGTACGCAATCATGTATAAAAATATGTTATGGGCTGGTGATGGATAAGATCAAAGTACAAAAATTTGTCACAGGGCAATCGACCGCATAGGAATAATCATTCTGTCCAAAATTTAACATGAATGTGAGTAGGTGTTATGAGGCATCTGTGAAAGTCACTAAATTCCTAACTAATTGTCATCTGTTCCACATGTTTGTTTGTTTGACTATTTAGATACTTTACCTATTAATCCATCTTAAAACTCATTTACTTTGAGAATTCTTTTCATTTCTGGTGTCATAATCGTCACATTGCAACCAGCTTTTCAACTGCCATGTAACAGAAAAACGACTATCTTTAGCAACTCCATCCTTCTGAAACAACATACATCATATATAAAAAATACCAACTTTCAAATGAATACCAACTTAACTGGGACTAATATGAAAAAGCTGGAGTATGAAGTTTATTTTGTTTATGTCAGCCATCCTTAAAACATATGGCATTGGAAAAAAGAGCTTCACTCGAATTCAAGGTCACGTGGTACGTTAATAGTTTACAATTACGTGCTCAATAAAGTTCGATATAACTTATTAAAAATACTTGTAACATGAGTAGTCTTGAAAACCTTGAATTTCTCAAAGCAATCTGTCAATGTATTTTGTTGCTTTCTCATCATAGTAATGATATATCAGTTGTAAACGTACTCTAAGTTCGGGCCACAATACAGATTTTGTTTTCCGTGCCTAGTTAATAGCTTTAACGTCTTGACCAACGCGGCGAGACTATTAATGATGGATGTAAGGTAACAGGTCTCGGATATTGGCGGGAAATTCATTCATCCATTTGGGTAAATATAGTTACAGCATTATAGCTGATGTCAGTTCGTGATGAAAACTCTAAATCTAGTCCCTAGCCTTAATAATCAACTGTAAATTATAATTCCAATTCCTCATGCAGGTCTATAACCGTAATTTGACACTAGTTGTTAAGTGGACACCCCCAAGGTCAGTCTGGCGTCGCTCAAAGGTCGTCTATAAATTATAGTCTCACCCAAATCTCGATACCTGATTGTTTTTGGTGATAATAAAGATAGTCTAGCCGAACGTCAGATAATCACTCAATAGCTGCGACTGAAGTCATGCTTTTTACTGGTTTCAGTAGTATGAGATTTTTCTATCCGTATTGTGTTGTTGCGCTTATCGTTGTCGAGTGGGATACGATATAATAAAACTGCAATTTGACAGCAAAATCGACTGGAGAGTAGGAATTAAGTGGGGCATGATAACTGTCTCTTTCTGACTTCAGAACTTAGTCACATCCGCCTGTTTTATTCATGGGTGTCTAAACATTCCCGTTAACAAAATCATTGGCTACTAAAACAAGTGCACTATAGTCCAGCGCATCAGACGATTAGCAGTTCTGAGGGTTGGAGCACATCCATTGACAGTCTACCAGTTAGTATTGGGAACGAATATCTGAGATGAGTCTATAACTTATGGGCGACATTTGAGCGAAACCGAAGTGACCGTGAACGTATTCACCTACTAACTAGGACTAAATGAGGGCTATAAACTAGTCAGAATTATGATTTACAGTTTACGGTCAGGGTTAGAAATTAAGTTTAGGGATTACATCGCGAACTGACATCAGCTAACATGCCAAAACGCTATTTGACCAAGTAGATGAACTTCGCGCCAAAATCTATGATTTGTTATCTTGAATCTTATTGGTTCGTTCGTAAATTATAGTCTCACCTAAATCACATAATGAATCACGAAGAAGTAACAAACGGCATGGGTCAGGAAAAACCCAACAAAACAAGGTCACCCACAACCATTAAGTTCGCAAATGTTAATCATTTATTTGTATTTTTCCTGAGCGGTACTATACTACGATGACGCATCCATTTAGACATGATTGTTGTACCATTATAACCCGCTCATAAGTATAAGTCACATATATTTTTCTGTTGGTCACGTTCACACTGGTGTTTTATGAGAGCTGACAGAGCCCAGACCGCTTTTGAAAGCAGTTTGAGTCCACTAGAACCATGGAATAAGAGGGTAAACTAGCTGAAATACAAACACCAGATTACATCAATAACTACTCTTGCTGACGTTGTGTGCAGATTAGTTGTTAACACATTGCTCGCGCACCCATGACAAACGAGTTATATACCGTGGGCGCTCGTTAACAACAGCACGTCAGCCTAAAAAGGTCTCGGTAGAATGGCAAATGTAATAACTTGTTTCGCATAGCTTGATGTTGTCAAATGTGACTTAAAGTAGAAGCAAGTGGTGAACACTTATCTGAAAAGGGGCTTTATAGACTGTTTTTGGCTTAAATGTATTTCCTATTAGGTATTATTCCTTTCCACTTACTTATTATTCGTGTGACGCGTTTCTAATGCCCTATTGTGCCGGAATTCATGTGCTTTAAATAATTTTTCGTATGATGTAGTCATGTATAAAAGTTTATTTAGGTATGAGTTTCCAGAAAGTCGGGGAATTCGAAATTTTTGGCTGGTCGGTTGCCGGGAACGAGACCTGTGTTGCTGTACGTAAGAATGGTCAAGTATTCGGTTTCGATGTTGGATTTTCACCTAGACCACTCGTTTTTGCCGATCATATGTTTATTAGGTAACTTAATAGTGAAGTTAACAATTTCTAGTCATGGACATGCAGATCATATTGGGGCTATTGCCCAGCATATGAAAAAGAGAGCCTTAAATAATCTAGGAACAGCGACGTATTTCATGCCAAAGCATCTGGTCCCACATGTGAAGACTATTTGCGATGCTTTCACTGTTATGTCTGAAAAAGTTGACTCAGACTTTGTTGGTACTTTTGTTCCCGTTGAACCAGGAAATAAATATAAGGTTTGTTGTGCTTACATCATTTACATGTGGTTCTGCACATTTTCAGTTATCGAATAATTGGCATGTTGTTGTTCTTTCAACTGATCACTCGATTACTAGTGTGGGTTATTTACTTTATTCTCGAGATTCTACTGGCAAAGAAGTTCCGGAAATAGCTTATTTAGGTATGTTGGAATATTATTGAACGACTGGTTCTATATGAATGTCATTGTTTTGTTAGCAAACTAGTTCTTATCCAATTATATCCACAATATTGCTGATAACAATGTGAGTAGCTCTTTTATGTGAAGCTTAAACTGAACGTTAAACACTTATTTTGGCAAACCACACTACACATCAGAATAGGTGGTTATCCAGTTATCTCAGCTAGTTTAGATTCTCGGACTTTTGTTCGACCGTTTTTCTCCTTAAACTCTACGGTTAACAGTAATGGCTGATTATTTCTGCTACCCATGTTAAATGCTCTGTGAAAAATCATATTGGGATAGCTGTTACTCGTTTTCAACAGCGGTATTTCAACTTCAGTAAATAACAATGTACATATATGTAATTGTACACTTATGTATTCTATCTTATATTTCTTATCTCTCTGATTTGTTGGGTTTTTTTCATTAAATGTATTAACATGCTTTGTCTAAGTAAGGGAATTTAAACTTTCTATTCACACGTGGTCGCTTTTAAGTCATTTCAGCCATTCTGATTTTATATGTTTAGTTCAAAGGTAAGAGAATCCCAATTATATATATATATATATATATATATATATATATATATATATATATATACATGGGACAGTTACTTCGGCATTACTCAAGGTCTATCTTGTTAAACATTGGCCTATTATCATATCTGTTATAAAAAACCTGGGAGTAGTATACTGAAACTAATATATGGTAACAGCTACTTTCTTTCAGCGATCCGTTCTGACTGAATTTGCGAGAAAATGCATTGTGGTGGATTCCGCTTTGTCGGTCGTCATCCATAGACATCTTGATCCTGGTTCAAAGATGCTTCATGCCATGTTACCACACTTCATATCAATACACCAAAAGAGGTGAATAAGATAAAAGGCGGAGGAGATTTAATATCAATAATCGCTTAGTTTGCGTAAAAATATCACCTTTTTTTTATAAGAAACTGCATATCGTACCCCTAGATCAGCATCCTAAGTTTGTATGGAATGCTTAAAAGGATTCGACCTGTAGTTGGTTGGAATTTAAGTAAGATCTACCAGACGACAATGTGGACCATTATTGTTCCGATGTCTTATTTCCCCACCAATACGAGTTTATAGGAATCTGTTCCTGGAGTGCTAGTTAGTGCTAAAAATTCATAAAGAAAATCACGAGATGCTGTTGCATTGTCAGATTCATGAAGGATAGATCCCATTTTCTCTCGATAAAACTAAATATATGACCACACAATTTACGGTATTCGTAAGTCGCAATTGTTGAAGCTTATTGTCTAACCTGGTTCAGCGTTCTAAAATGAAGTCATCTGACATGCCACTTGTGAAGAGCCTTCAAGAGACCATAAGTTATATTTCCTAATCTGGAACCGTTAATACTGGTTGTATATAGAAAGGATGTTTTAGCTAATTAGGAATAGTTGATGAAAAGGACGAGGACATTGTTGACATACTTGAGTGCTGATGAAGGTTTGTGTGGGATTAACGATTACTGGTTGTTCATACCTCTAAACGATATTTATTCTGAATGGGGCTAAAGCCAAACAGTATTAAAATCAATGTCCTTATCAACCGCGTTATCACTGTTGAGCACGAGACAATTTTTTAATATCAGTCAACTTTTAGTGAGTTATTTTTGTAGTAAAATAAAGTAGCTAAATTCATTAATGCTAAGTAACAGCAAGTTGTAAAATGACGCGATTTTGACCATTTGTTAAATAATAAGTGGTAGTTGCGTCTGTATCATTGTACACTCCACTTTCCAACGAAATCACTACTCAAATATTTTGAAACCTTAAGGTATTTTGAACATTCAAAATAGTGACATTATTGCTAAAACATACATCTGATTTACGTTACCAACCCATCAAATACTTTTTACCTATTTTTTGTTTGTCAAGTAATTAAAAAAGGTTTTAACTACAATATTGAATGTCTATTTATCTTGTATTATTATGTAAATGTTCTTTTGTTTTGTTTACTGTTATAGGTGATTCTAGATTTACTGTTATTCGTGAAGCGAATTCACTCTGCCCAGATCTTTTATCATCTCGCTTATTGATAATGGAAGCAACATTTCTAGATAATCCAGATCGTAAGATTGAAAGCGCTAGAAGTCATGGTCATACGCATTTGGATGAAATTCGTCAGAATGCTTCTTTGCTAAAGGTAGTTGTTAGTTTATTTTTCTGAACTAAGCGGTTAGCTTTTATTCCGAACTATTCAGTTGTTAGTTTGATCCTTGTTTGTTTACAAATATTCTTGTATCAGAGTTGTAGTAAATTCGATTGCTACTGTGGACTTTGCGTTTATGTTTTTTTTTAAGGAATAACATTTTTGTTGTAGCATTATTAAAGTGCAAATAGGCAATTTTCATAGCTACATAGACCTTATAAACACTTTTCCAATCTAAACCAAATTAATATTATTAGTACCGGTGATGTGTTCTCCGAGACAGATAGTAGCGATAACCTTGAGTGCTGTTAGAAGTGTGAGAGCGGTTGTATTCTCTCTACTGCTCATACAGTTGGAGAATGATTTCTGTTGAGATGGTTGAGAAGGAAGCGTTTAGGGATGGCTTGTACGACTTGGGATTTTAGTCGTGTCATCACGAAATGGAAACTCCATCACCACATCAAGGTAGAAGAGAAGTCCTCATAGTCTTTGTGAATGTATTTTTACTATCGTTATTATTATTAGTATTATTATTACTATCTTATTTAAGCGCATAAACATTAGTACACGGAGGCACCAAATATATATAAGCCACACTTCGTCATTCGATTTGTGTAAGGACTGGAATATTAATCGGGTGCCCAAACCGAAGCAAGTGGTTTTCTTAGGAGAACACTCCGCGAGCCTTTCACCTAGAGGTCTAGTCCACAAGGCAGTGGAGCAACGTTAGAAGATGCAGTTTCACGGTAGCTGGTGACCAACAGTATATTCGCACATCATTTGTTCCCTCAGGATCCAGGAGCCTATGTGCACCATTGATTTGGAATGAAGGTTTTCCAACTCCCCTAAGTGGAATCTCCGGTTCCAACAACCCAGTTAGAGCTCCGGATATTCGCTTTTCATCTTCTCAATTTCGTAAACGACACACCTGCTGAAAGAAGGCAGTGAGTAGGACTTCCCTGATAGTGGCTGTATACGCGTGACCATGTGAGAATATTTCGAGAGGGAGAGTGGACTCTCTCTACCCTTGGCCGTACCAAGGTATTTGAGGGCTTATTTCACACTGAAGTTATTATCACTTATTGAAGGGACTAAGTACAATCATCCGGGCCGAAAATAACCTGTACGCAAAACGAGATCAGTCAGTCAGCTACGACGTAGGACCAGACATATGCATCAGTCCAAGTTGCCATACCTCATTAACACAACAAAATGAACACCAGATTTATAGAAGCAGTTACTTCAATGGTAGTAATATATAAAAGAAAGATTGTGTATCAACACTTAATACGGAAAGAAAGAATTGGTTCGTAGAAACAAAAGTATAAGGCAATTTTAATCTCACGGTTTAAGGGAAGAAAAAGAGTGTGTACAACCACATCATTGTGATCGATTCTGAGATATGTTATCTAGTCTCCAACAATTGGTTAAGATGGTCGCGCGGACCCCAATCAAGTAGTCTGCATCTACCAACATCGCTCAGGCTAGAAGTTAGTGACTTCAAGGACTGATATTAAATATTAATAAGAAAAGCTTTCAAGCAATTGGTACATATTATGCTAATTATCATCAGTTTTCAGAAGAAATAGCATGAACTCCATTCCGGTAGTGCGTTGACATTAAGTGAGGTTCTACAACTTTTATCTGTACCCGTTGCGATTAAGTTAGTTTAGCTTAGAATATACGCTTCCCTGGATCCTATTGATTCAAGGTTATATCTGTGAAAAGGGAAGAATATTAGGGGAATGAAGCAGTATAGAAAATGATGATTTGTAGAGTTCCGCAAACTAATCTTTGGACATAATGGAAAATAGTTGATACACTACTTTCCTAGTTATGTTTTGTAACTAATATAGCTTCACTGTTTCCCAACCTAATTGTTTTGTCACATCAATAATCCGGGGTTTTAACCGGGTTGGTGGAAACGGAGAGTCCACCTAGGGGAGTTGGAAAACCCTGATTCTAAATCAATGGTGCACATGGGCTCGTGGATCCTAAGGGAAAAAATGACGTGCGAATATACTGTTGGTCACCAGCTACCGTGAAACTGCATCTTCTAACGTTGCTCCACTGCCTTGTGGACTAGACCTCTAGGTGAAAGGCTCGCGGAGTGTTCTCCTAAGAAAACCACTTGCTTCGGTTTGGGCACCCGATTAGTATTCCAGTCCTCACACAAATCAATGATAACTACTACTGGCATCATTGTTATTGTGTGGTGCATATGTATTTAGTGTCATCTTGTACCAATGTTTATGTGTTCAAATAAGTGGATACATCAGTAATCTACTTTCATGAAATTGTAACCTTACATATATCACTTTGTATTCTCAGAATTTCATATTTTATTACTGCAATGTTCTGTTTGTAATCGATTGAAAAATCATTAATCACACTTAGAATTTTAAATTTATGACATATACAACCCTCTCTCATGTACCAAGATCTAGTGAATAGCCGAAAGGAAATGGTAAAAGCAATACTTACATGGGAGTATTTAGCGGTCTTGATAACACCGATCGAGAAGTCAATCGGACGATACTAGGGACTATAGTAAGAGGCGATCTCAGAGAAGAATTAGTCAAGACTTTTAAAGCTACTCATCAAAGTAGAAATAAGCGCTTGTATTTTCACTTTTGTCAAAACGATCTCTGGTGAAAGTCGCGAGGTGTTTTAAAGTCAAAATTCTTAGCAGCATGTTAATCATTATTTAAAGCATCATTAGTAAATGAGTAGAAAATTTGACAAGGATGAGGACAGACAATAGTACCTCTTAAGTTATTAGATTAGAGATCATATCCAATTTTTCATATAAGAAAAAAAGGCTTTAGGAAAAATGCTGCTTAGACGACAGAACATCTCGATAAATATCCCCCCTTTGTCTTATTAATTCATCACAATAAGTTTATAATCTTTGAATGTAATATTTTAAAACGAGCAACTTCATGTGTATCTAGGTTGATAGCTGATCGGGAAACTAATCATCCTGTGTAACTGGTTTTGACCTACCTGGTTTGTCAGTCTTGCCATGTGATGATAATTACTTCCATAACCTAATATTTCATTGAATCGCTAAATATCGAGACACAAAACTTGACATATTAACTGCAACGAATCGTTATTTAACGAAATGACCACTTTAATAAGCAGCCTAAAATTACAACAGCAAAGTGATTGTCAGTTAGTGTTTGTGAAGATCGTTGAATTTCATTTAAATTATGAATCTATCTAAGTTAAATCACCACTGAAAACATGTAAACACCAAACTGTCGTTTCATTCTAGTATCGGACTTTTTAGCTATGGGCATCCGCGACCCCGCGCGCGGGAATCAAACCCAGGACCTATAGTTACACGCGTGAACACTTAACCTCTAGACCACTGAGTCGGGATCCAAAAGTATAATTTGTACTAATTGATTCAATAATGTCATACATAACGGTGTGTTTTTAAATATGCAATAGAGAAATTTTTATTTCATTAACCCTTGGTTGATCGCTAATTTAACTACATTAGTTTAGTGGTTAAATCATGTGGTTTTTTGACAAGTAGGTTGAAGGTGCAAGATCCTGTTTACTCAAGCTTCGATTTAGTAAGCTGAGTAATATTGTCAGCTGTAACGCACAACAGCGATGTGGGTCAAATTTGAGTTCCATTAGTATTTTGATGTTAGATGGTTAGAAGTTGGTCTCTAGAACTATCCATGAATCTAAATTTCGTTTTAGTTAAGGCTCATTGACAAAACATACTAGCATGCTCCTTGAGAGAAGTGGTACTCTAATGTTAGGTTCAAACCCATATCTCCCAGTTACATAGTGTAGGAAATCACCACTGAGCCATTTACATCTCGACTGACTAGTAGGACTGAGATATTTACATTAATTAATTACTAAGTAGTAACTAATTTCATTGATATTGTTATTCTTATTATCAACTTACTAATTCGTTGTATTTTATCAAATAAATTTCCACTTCTCCTCGTTTTTTTTTTTGAATATTTTCAGTCTGTTGATTATATCTATCTGATACACTTCTCAGATCGTTATGGTCATAATGATATCATCCGTCTTTGTCACAAAGATATGCCTGATTGGTTAGTCAATCGTATTATACCATCTGTAACTGCTAAACATTGTCTTGAAAGTAGATGATACTTATATTGATATTTCTTTTCTATAAATTTTTGTAAATTTTATGTAGTTTGTATAATTTACCGATAAAATAAAGAGAAAAGTTTTGATTGTTTTAAGTCTTTTTTTGGTTCTGATTATTGAGCTAAATGTATAGATGAATCCACACCATGATAAACGAATAATTTAGTTGGTGAATTATCTTCTCACAATAGGACGAAACTGTTGTCCAATGCTTCCAGGTTTTCCATGATGATCTTGCTTCAATTGACTCATGATGTCAACTATTGAAATTGCTACAATCTTCACAAAACCTCTTCTGATACGAATTATATTCCTTTAGTTTTAAAAGTTTCTACTATTTAATGTGTGGCGTCACGTCCCGTGACCCCCATTTTGAGATGTGATCAATAACCGTACACCTAAGGCTAGCGCCCATCCAACCAGGTCATCTGCTCAGCAGCACACACAGCTGAAGGGCCATGTGCAGTACTTCTCCGCAGTTATGGCATGGAGACTGGGTGGGGAACCCGCACTTGGCGGACAACACTCTCTGTCCAGTGCCCGGGGAGTTCTCCCAGAGTCAGTGAGTGATTGGTTGTTTTTGACGCACTCTTCAACGAACTCCGAAATAACCACCGGTCAGCGACTGTTTAATTGTTATTAACTTTAAGTAAGTAGATTTTTATCACAATGGGGATTTGTGGAGATTGTAGTAGTTTTAATAGTTGGATTTATAAGTCAATCTTAGCTAGACTACCATTAAAAACCTGGGTTCGAGTCCCGCGTTCAGCTTATATTGACTTATGAATTCAACTATTAAGATGGGTTTTTGTTTAGCTAATCAATACAGTTATCTTACTCTAATATTTTACGAATATTTAAATTAATATCAGGTAATAATAATAATAATAATAATAATTGTTCAATTTACAAGTTTGTTGTGGAATGAATGAAATTTATTCCATTTAGTTATGAATTCCTTACGTTCTAGTGAAATATTTTAATTCTAGTAGTGTACAATCATGTTGTGAATGAGACTGTTGTCATTTATGAAATTAAATGTTCTTGGCGTTATATCTCAAATCCATTAAAGTTGAACATATGAATTATTTGATTTTAAATCAATGGTTTAAGTGTATTTATTTATTTATTTATTTTAACACATAGATGTCGGTACAATGAAGCACCAAATACATATGCGCCACACAAATCTCATTCGATATGTGTGAGGGTTGTGATACTTCCCGGGTGCCCAAACCGAAACAGGTGGTTTTCTTAGGGAGCCACATCCGGAGCCTTCAACCTAAAGTTCTGACCCACAAGGCAATGGAGTATCGTGAGGAGATGCAGTCCCATGGTAGCCGGTGACCAACGATTGGTTCATACGCCATTTGTTCTCGCAGGATACTGGAGCCCATGTGCATCATTGGCTTGAAATGAGGGTTTTCCAACTCCCCTATGTGGACTCTCCATATCCACCAACCCGGTTAAAGCGCCGGACCTTCGCTTTTCGTCTTCTCAATGTGGTAAACAACACCCGTGCTGCTAGGTGGCAGTGAGTAGGACTTCTCTGACAGAGGCTATATACGCGTGGCCATGTGAGAGCATTTCGAGAGGGAGAGCGGACTTTCCCCACTCTCGGCCGTGCCAGGGCATTTGGGGGCTGTTTAAGTGTAACAATAGAATCGAAGATTCTAAGTTCGAATATATATATCAGTTTATCTAATTTATTCTAGAAAAATCTTTCAAGCAAACTAACCATCAATCTTATTTGTATGTTTTGATAAATACTGAGTTCAAAATACAATAATTTAGTTTCTTGTACCTCATTATCTTATCACCTATTCTAGAGTTGTAAAATATTGCCACCTAGTGTGAAATATTTAATCGATAGTAGTTGACTACAAGTCATATTTACTGGCTATATTCATACGTGAAATCAAAACTGAAAACAAATGGGGTATTAGCTACTCATCAAATTTAGTTGATTTAAGTTAAAATTGCTAATAGATATGTAGATTTTTCAGTAGTCAATGTCAAACTGACGTGAATTATTTTACTTAACTATTGTTCAGAATATATGATTTAAAACCTGGAGTTCACATTTTCTTCGGAATTTATGGTGCATTCATGTATCATAATGACCAACCTAAAATGTCTCAAACACTGCAAAGTTAGATAATTGGGGCTTGTTAAACAAAATATACTGAGAAAGGTGATTGAAATATAGATATCGACATTACATTGTCTCACATTGTAACATCTATAGAAAAAACCAACTAAAATAACTGAGGGCAATTAGATTCACATAAGTATGTTTTTCGATTTAAGCTTAGTAGCCGAACACTTAGACTACTGTGTATACTATCTATCGGGGATGCTGAAGTATGGGTAAACTACATAACCGTTCTGTCTTTTGTTTTACTACTATGAACCGTAAAGTTTGTTGTTAAAACATCAGTAAGTTGTACATATTTAACCAGAAAATGCCTTCGGATCCTTGCTGGGGCACTAGGTCATTTTTCCTGCATCGGTCGTATGCATCGTCGACTACGTAGTGGATATAAACCAAAAGCATTTGCATTTAATAGTATGTAGATCCTAATATCCACAAATTATGTAGTTATATCCATTAACTGTCTTTATTCACTAGTCAGTTACAACCGAAACGTCTTCTGGAATCAACAGTTAAATTGCTTGGTACGTAAATAGGTACTATTAAATGAATCGATTTCTTGAAAGGAATTTATTGTAATTATTTGGTTGGACACACTGCCATTGAAAAGAATAAGATAATGTAGAAAAATCATTGGAATGATAAATTTGAAGTTGATGTGTTGCAGTATTCTGTTCTTCAAGTCTTCTTTACTAGAAAGTAAAGTCAATATGTTACTTTTTTTCCCGATAAAATCAGAGAAAAAATTAGTATTTGACTTGGGGATAAACCGGAGGTAGGTTTGGGTAGAATAACATCCTCTTACCGTTTCTTTCTGATTTTACTATTTAAGCGGATCGTGATTACAGGTCCAGGAAAAAGTCCTTGCTAGTTGTACAGGTCATTTACTTGAAGAATGACCTTTAATGTAGAGTATGTGGATGATTTCGTTTTGTCTTACAATCACAAATCTAAATCACTTGTAATCAGCTTATGTAGACGTCGTATGCATGTTTCACTGTGAAAATTGTACTTACATTTATTCTTCTAGGTAAGTTCCTAGAGATAGTAGAAATGTTCGTGTATCTGACCAGATTAATTAGCACTGGTACGGGCTATTTTATTTATTTATTTAATCCACATAAAATGTTTTATAACTGGGTACCAAAAATAATATGCGTCGCAAAAGAATATTTATGTGTGGGTTAGGATATTGCTTGGACGCCCAAACCGAAGGTGATTTTCTTAAGGAGCCACTTCCCTAGCCTTTGACTGACAGGATAATCGAGCAACGTTAGGTGTCATCCTATGTTGATCATTTACCAGAAATAGGTTTATTCATCATCCATCCTCTTGGGATCCTGGGACCAATATTTACTTTTGGTTTGAAATCATAGTTTCTTAACTCACCTAGGCTATCCCTTTGTATCCATCAACTCGGCTTAGACACCGTGGATTTTCTTTCTATCCTGCCAATTCCATAAGGAGTAAACCCACTGCGAGAAGGTATTGAGCAACACTTCCTTGTCAGGAGCTATAAACGCGTGTACCGACGGGAGGATTTCTAGAGAGAGAGAGAACCCCTTATACCCTCTGTTGTATTAAGAGATCTGGGGATTGGAGACCTCTCAGAGACTGATATCATCGATAAAATCAGGCTTCGTATTGCGCAATTCATAGGAGCTAATATCAGTTAGAGGCATCCTTTGTAAACTAATCATCTAGCCACATTCAAATTGTCTATTGTGTTCCGTGCATCCCTTAAAAAGTGGAGGTCTTCATAATCCCATCGACCACGTGAAGAAAGAGAAAGGGGGAAAATAAGCAGCCTTGTTTGACTCTGGTTGTCATTTGGAATGCGTCTTTCAGCTGTCCACCATGCACGACTTTGCAGTGTAGTCCTTCGTATGAATTCCGTATGATGTTGACGATCTTCTAAAGTGCACCGATTTACCATGTGCCCTGCACCTAACTTCGAGTTTACTTGACCGTTCCACGGTACGCTACGAAAATGTTAAAGACACCCATGCTTAGCCACGTTTCACAGTTATTAAGTACTGCAGAACAGACTGTTGAGCATTATACTCGCCATTATATTGTCTGACAGAAATTTGGTCTACACCACAAGTGATACAAGTTGTCTAAGGCCAAACAAGATTTTCGAATCCATTACGATTCCATTCATTCCGAAAAAGGGAAGTGTTCCTTTCTATGTTTGTTTCATTTCATGTTGTTAAAGTCAATAAAATAATTTTAAAAAGAGTAACATTAAATTACATACGGATTTCTGTTTCTGATTTTCTCCTTTGTACTTCGTTTTTCGACTGATTATTTGGCGTCAATGTAGGTTTGTGTAATGTTCTTTTCTGTAAATCTTCAGCGTACTAATAATAATAGTGATAAGAATATTTGATCAAACGAAATTCACCTATTTAGTGTGGGTAACAGACAGTGTGATGCTATTTGATGTTATAAATGATTAATATTTATTAAAACACAACAAAAACATCTCATAGTTTCACTTGGTCTTGTTTGGCTTGTATCTTCCCATTAAGGTTTAAGACTGCAATTGATCAGTCTTATTGGCATATGTGCATACTGTGCGTATGCCTCGATATTACCTTAATTCACAAGCTATTTGTAAGCAAATATGGATAGTGGCTAGCAGTGGAATCCAGGACTCGCGTTTCGTCCTATTCGGGACTTGTCAGCTAAACGTATCTGCATCTCAGATTCGATGTTCACTCTGCGACTCGAACACATGGGAAGATACAAGTAAACAACACTAAGTAAATATAACTTCACCCCATTGCACATGCGGGTGGCTATCAGGACTCAGTAGCTAAGTAGATAACCCGATGGCGTTTGAAGCAAACGGTACTGGGTTCGAGTCACAGAATGAACATCAACTCTGAGATACAGGTACACTCAGCTGACGATTCCCTGGATTCCACTGTTAACCACCATCCATCTTTGCTTAGAATAAAAACTGTTTGGTAAACCCTATAAAAAGAAAGTCGCAACCCGAATAGCTTAGTGATTCCGCTGCTAGCTACTATCCATGTTTCCCACACATTACTTTACTATCGCTTTTCATCTGTTTACAGTGATCACATGAAAATACTGTATGCAGTTTATTTTGTTAGAAAATTTTAATAAAATGTTAAACTATAGAGTGATTTTTGTTGTCAGCATTATTTCTGCATTATTCAAAGTTGACTCATTTGTTGAATTGAGATGCTTCTTCTTTTTTTTTAGGTTTATTAACCATAGTACGTAAATAACACTGTATAGTGATGTTTGCTATTCACGGTGGATCAATTAAAGTTTTAAATGTAGACCGATGTATGTGGTTTCACAGGTTTAGAATATAGCGATAATTACAAGTCTTGAAGATATTTTATTCAGTCTGCGAGGAGTTCTCGTTATGTACTTCGGTAAAGGCGGAATATATTGTCAAACCAATGACACGGTTAGGAATGAGCTGTAATGCAATAATCTTTACATCCATATCTTATGGTCTGTCATTTATCTCTGCCTTCTCATGATTGGCTAAAACAGGTTAAGACGTCGATTTTATAGTTCAAGGTATAGTTCAGCTTTACCATTATTTTTAAATCCTTTACTGAACTAATTGTCCAAGGATTAAGCACTTAATGTAAGACCTGAAGGTGCTGAGTTAAATTCTTGATGAAATCATGAATGTGTACTACTGGGAACTCTTAAACTGGGACGAAACATTTGTTCAGTTCTTCATGGTTTTATTACTTGTCTAACTACGGCTTGTCTATGGTATATATATATATATATATATATATATATATATATATATATATATATATATATATATATATATATATGTAGTAATATAAAGATAATTTTCTCTTACTTGTCTAGCACGAAAAGAAGTAGGTGAATAACCGGTAGCAGTAGTGGAACCTAAGGAATTAGTTCCATTACCTTTACGTGTACATGTTTCTACATGCTTAGTTGCTACATCAATTTTAAATTTTCTGTAGCAAATCAAACACCGCATCATATCTAATAATAAAGAGATTAACATAAAAAGAAAACAAAAATACAAAGTAGCAAACAATTATGACTACATTATATCAAATGAGTTATGATGACTAGTGTTACTATCTGATTTCCTAAACTAAAGGAGGTTTCAAATATATTTTTTGTCATCATTTTAAACATTTTATTCAGTGTACATAAGATATTCAAATTTTGCGCAAAAATTTAAAAGTTTCATTCTTGATTCTGATTGGCTCATACTTATGCTTTACTTTTACGTTCGACATGATTTATTTTGGATAAGTGATTAGAATTGACAGTGAGATTATAATTTATGGACGACCTTTGAGTGACTCTAGATTAACCTTGAGAGTGTTCATTTAATAACCAGGATCAAATAAGGGTTATAAACCTTTCGATAGAACAATGAGAAGACGGAGTTGATCTGAAAAATGTGATGTATTTGCGCTATACATTTCAAACAATCTGGTCACACATATACTTGTCAAGGCATTTTTCTATGAAAATTAATAAAGGTCAAACAAATAAAAGTACAATTAAAATAACTAAGGGGAGAGAAAGAATAAGAAATTATCGTGTTATCCTAAGCCATAGAATGACTTAAGGATTACCAAGGTAAATTCAAGGTTACGACAATTTGTTTTTGTACACATAAGGGGGGTTTAAATTTACGAATAGCTAAGGCTTCAGTAAACTTAAGAATTCGACCTTGACAATTTCTATACAACATTCTAAATGCTGTATTAATGTTAATTTTGTGCCTCGTCTCAATTATGTGTTTTGCTATCGATGAACTTGGTTTTCTACCTCCTACATTGATCGGATCATTTGATACACACTGATTTTGAAGCCATCTGGGTACATGTTCATTGACCCTTGATTGCATTGTTCGATTACTCCTCCCTATGTACGTGTGTCCACACAAACATGTAAATTGGTAAATACAATGGGATGTGACGTAATCATTAGTGCATTGTTTGGGTCTATTAGGAATCATGGCCTTAGACTTCTCAATCACTACCAACTGAGCAGCATAATACGTATTCTCGATGGCTGCTCTCAATCTGTGCCTTAAAACAATACTGTTTGATTCGCCTCTATATGGTAGATTGATGTAAACCTTTTTCTTTGGCACTGAATAAATTAGAGGTCTTGGCATTAACTGACTTTTGCACCTATTGATAAACTTGAGTGGATAACCATTTGCAATTAGTGTCAGTCAGTAACTTTTCTTTCTCTCCCCTTAGTTATTTTAATTGTACTTTTATTTGTTTGACCTTTATTAATTTTCATAGAAAAATGCCTTGACAAGTATATGTGTGACCAGATTGTTTGAAATGTATAGCGCAAATACATCACATTTTTCAGATCAACTCCGTCTTCTCATTGTTCTATCGAAATTTATAAACCTTTGTGAGGAATTATAATTATAATGTACAGTTGATGATTAAAGTTAAAAATTAGATTTCGGGTTTTCATCATGAACTGACATGAGCTATAATACTTGTTAGCGGGACATAGACTAGATTAAAGCATGCTCAATGCATGATTGCTTTGGTGCACGCTGATTGGCTGATTCTTATCCAATCAGCACTAGTCGATAGTCGGAGAATATTCTGGAATCTTCTTATGTAAAAACTATAAATATACCGACGTTTTCCCCTATTGTGCTTCCTACTGGCTTCTGACTTGCTATTTGGAATATAATCTTTTTCCTGTTCAACCGTGTTCTGATTTGGGGACTTGTCGAGTGAATCGGTGTCCGAGAATACTAAGCAACAGGAATAGCTGGGTCATTAACCTGTAAGAAATCAGAGTTATAACAATGCTAAAACTCTATTTAACCAAATTAATGAGTGAATTTCGCGCCGAAATCCAAGACCTATTATCTTATACGTGATTGGCTCGTCCATAAATTAGAGTCTCGTCGTTTACTCATCATGAGCTTAACCGTCGAAGTTAATTATGTCCATAGGAGTGAATTCTTTATAAACTATGATATCAAGTATAGGAATAATTACAAATCTACTGATGTCTAAAAATAAATAGTTAGAGACACTTATGTAGTAGGTCCTTGATGTTTGTATAAAACAAGGATTTTATATAATAGACATGTTTATGGTTGATTTAATATTATGTGTTTTGGAGTTGGTTAGAAACGATACATGGATTTAAGTTTTGTACTAGTTGGTAATATTAAGGGGGCCAATGCTTCTTGTGGGATTAAACCAGGGTCACTCGATCCCATAGTTTCAGATTTTACCACTGAGTTATTTAACTTGCAACTGACTTCATTTATAACAGCTGCAATTCAAAACTGGTGATAGAAAAAAACGTGCTGCTGCATGAATATCATGATCCTCATGGATGTAGTAGGTCCTTAATCCCGCATCAAAAGTTTAAGCAACTAATTTCATGACACTTACAAATTCTGATTTGAGTGTATGAATGACAATGAATCGTGAATTCCAATAGCAACTTACACATAAAATGAGAAGTGGTTACTGTAATTCCGTTTCCGAACTGATGATGTCTTTATGTTTGAAATAACAAACTCTGGACTAAAGTTTCAACATGAACGTTGATGTATACGAGGATTTCCATAACATCCGATTAAACTGTGTTACTGCTGTCTATTAAGACATACAACTTATTTTCAACCCTTTTTCTTGATGATTGGAATTTAGTTGCACAACTCAATGTGACACACCAGGTTCCTAAATTCCTAGTTAGAAATCTTGTTAAGCTGAGTTAAATTATGTCGGTAGAGAGACATATATAAACTTATGGTATTGAATAATTGTCATACTCTATTGATAACAGAAAATTCAGGCTACGAGATTTTCGCTCTTTAGTCAGTATGTAACTCTTTGTTTTGACTCCTGAAGGTGTAATCAGTGAACATAGGTAAGAAATCCCAGACGAGAATGGACCAGCTATTAAATGATTTCTATTTTTCAATCATTACCCAATGATGAAACACTATTTTCTAATAGAAATAATCGTTAGAATCTGCCCATCTACATGAAATGAGTATTTCCAGTCATTAAGATATCAAACCTATCGGGTAATTTCATAGGAAATGCATATCAAATTATTATACACGCTTTTTTTTACTACAGAGTTAAGATAAGAAAGTGTGGATCGGTAAAGCAAGAGCAGCATATTTACAACTGAAGAACATGTGGAACTCAAAACAACTCTCAACCAACACCAAAGTCAAGATTTTCAACACAAATGTCAAGACAGTTCTACTGTATGGGGTGGAAACCTGGAGAACTACGAAAACCATCATCCAGAAGATACAGGTGTTTATTAACAGTTGTCTATGCGAAGTATTTCAGATCCACTGGCCGGACACTATTAGCAACAACCTACTGTGAGAGAGAACAAACCAGATCCCAGCGGAGGAAGAAATCAGGAAGAATCGCTGGAAATGTATAGGACACACATTGAGGAAAGCACCCAACTGCGTCACAAGACAAGCCCTCACATGGAATCCTCAAGGCCAAAGGAAAAGTGGAAGACAAAAGAACACATTACGCCGGGAAATGGAGATAGACGTGAGAAAAATGAACAAGAATTGGATGGAATTAGAAAGGAAGACCCAGGACAGAGTGGGTTAGACAATGCTAGTCGGCGGCTTATGTTCCATTAGGAGTAACAGGCGTAAGTAAGTACAGAGTTAAGAAAGATGAATTACGCTGAGAAAAATAATCGAAGATAAATTCTTATTACCTGGATTATCAATAATTGGAATTAAATTAGTAAATTCCATTTCTGAATGTCGTCTATTGTTTAGACATGGTGTATACGATAAACGGCTTAATTTTCTGGATGCTTTTATATTATCCAATAATTGTTGTGCTTCGTTGATCCATTCATCTAATAAAAAAATTTAATAAAAGGACATAAATACTTCTAATAGCATATATATATATATATATAGAAGATTTTCGCAGAATGTCTACTAATTCACAGACATTATCATAGAGATAATATTAGAAGAGAGTGTTTTATTGGAAACGGTCACATGCGTATACAGCCACTATCAGGGAAGTCCTACTCCCTGCCTTCCTGTAGAACAGGTGTTGTTTACCAAGCTTAGAGGACAGAAAGCGAAGGTCTGGCGCTTCAAACGGGTTGGTGGACATGAAGAGTTCAGCAAGGGGAGTTGGAAAACCCTCATTTCAAACCAATGGTGCACATCGGCTCCAGTATCCTGAAGGAGCAAACGGCGTATGAACCAGTCGTTGGTCACTGGCCACCATGGGAATGCATCTCCTAACGTCGCTCCACTGTCTTGTGGATTAGACCTTTAGGTCGAAGGTTCCGGATGTGGCCCCTTAAGAAAACTACCTGCTTCGGTTTGGGCACCTGGGCAGTATCATAGTCGACACACAAATTAAGTGACTTGTGTGGCGCATGTTTATTCGGTACCCCTTTGTACCAATATTTATGTGTTCAAATAAAATAGGATATTATTTAAAAAGATTTGAATAATAAATAATTTTAACAGAGTATTTGTTAAAGAAGTGTTAATAAAATGATTTATATGATCCTAGCAAAGTTTATAATCAGAGTTGATCACATTTTAGGTCACAACATTCCTTTCAAAATGTACACTATGGAGATCATCAGTCTTGTAAACACAAATAATTTGTTTTAAATAAGTATTGTGTGAAAACAAACACAACCACTCTTAGAGACTGACATAACCACAGTGATAGATATTCTATCTTTACCGAGGTAAATATTTTTTAAGCAGCTTATTCACTATTGATAAAGAGGTGAGACTAATGTTTCTGTTTATAATGAACTGAATTGCTAAGAATAAATTCGTAAATATTAGCATGGTTGTACTGTGGTGAATGGTACTAATGTTGACAGATATAAGTAATATGTATCATCAATCGGAAGTGAAATACCTGGTGGCAGAAGGTTAAGAAGACCAAAGAAAAGAGAAAGAGAACAAAGAATGATTGATGTGAAAACGAAAGAACAATGAGAACAATGGTCAGCGGACGCTCACTGTTGAGCTCGATACTAGGACAGAACGGTTGTCCAAGGCTTCCATGTTTTTAATTGTTTGTGATTTAATCCATGAGAATGTATATTCATCTATTTTCATTTTAAACTTCATCCCAGTATATATATAACCGAGTATAGTTTCGTATGTGCATGATTGAACCGGCAAAATAATAACAAGTATTCCTGTGGACCAGAGTATTGACTCAGATGATTGTATTAAGTTTACATAATCTTCTTAGGATTTAAGCGATGCTCACCAACCTAATATGTCAGTATTCTAAGTAAAAAGATTATTATTCCTCACTGTTACTTACCGAATGTTTAAGAATAATCCACTTTATCTCTGATTTTACTCTTTTGGTCACCTCAAGAAAACTGATATTCAGACTTTAATATATTTTCCATGGAATGACTCAATACTTGCAGGGTTATCTAATATCTGTTTTTCAGAAACGTTACGGAGTTCAGATTAGTACATTGTTTTAAATCTTAGTCGTTAGGATCTATTAACAGTTTAAATATATTGCAGTGTAAATGAATATCTTATTATTCCGAGTTAGATAATAAGAAGCAGTTTAACATTCAATCATTCAGTCAACCAGATGTCATAAGACAATTGACTATATGGTCACGATCGAATCCTGCGAACGGGATCGTGGATAATGGTCTAATATCAATCAGTTTATGATCTCAATAAAAAAGTTTATACTTACTTAAATCTGTATTTTTGCTTTGAATAATACTACAGTCTTCACTAAATTTGTTGGGTTGTAAATTCGACTGATTTTGGGAATTCAAATAATTTACATCATTACAATAAGATACTATTGATTTTTCATTTGTTGATGGAACTTGTATTTCGGATTCTTGTTGGTGTTCTGGATGTACACGAAAGTTGGATGTTGTATACGTTGGTTGACTCGGATCAACTCGATGTTTTTGTTCTGATGTTTGTTCCTCTATGGATTTATAAAAAAATGTTTAAAAAAGATAAAATATCATTGATCTAATCAGGAAACCATATTTTGTAAAAGAGAACTTTGACAGTTTCAGTCAATATAAACATCAAACTATTGAGAACTATTTGAGCATATCTTTTTAATTCCTCATTATTAACAAGTTTATGGCTGTAGGATAATTGCGCATTACACGTAACAATTTAGTTTTTTAAAAAAAGTTTCTGTTCATCTCTGTCAGAAAACTACTTTTCTACTACCACCATTAAGACATAGTTCACTATTAGAATCTGATGGAGTCTATTAAAATTACTTATGATTATTATGATATAACAGAAGGACTGACAAAATATCGTAAGGCGAAAAATGATACATTACAAATAGCATATCTCAGTAGAAAAGAATGTGTTTGTAAAAACGTAACAGTGAATTTGCCATATTAAATAAAGAATAGGTAAATGTATTAAGATTCAGCAAATGTTAATCTTTTTTCCGAAAAAAAATATTGTCTATGTATATTTTGTTGTGATTTGTCAGTATACATCTCATGTCCGTCAGAAGTCTAGACTAATATGGTGGGTAAAGATTATTCGATTAGAGTGTGAACGACAATATACAAAAAAGGATTTTTAATCATCTTTGACTTAAAATCACATCATGAAAAGGAATGCTTAATTCTATGGCATTCTAAATATGTTGGGAGGAAGAAGAAATGCTGACGGATAGGAAAGAAGGACACCTTATCAAGATATCAATCATTGGAGATCTGAGCAAATGTGAGAACTATGAAGGCATCACGTTACTGTCAGTACCAGGAAAGGTTTTCAAGAGAGTGTTGCTGAATCGGATGAAAGACTCAAAAGACTCCCAAATTTGAGATCAACAAGCTGGATCCCGTAAGGATCAGTCCTGCACAGACCAAATCGTTGAACAATAATTTGGGTGGAACTCGCCACTATACATTAAATTCATTGACTATGAGAAGGTGTTTGACAGTGTAGATAGGAGGAACTTATGGAAACTTCTTCGACATTATGGAGTGCCTGAGAAGATAGTCAACATCATCCGGGATTCATACGAAGGACTACACCACGAAGTGATGCTTGGGGAATATTTGACAGACACATTCTAATTGACGACCGGAGTCAGAAAAGACGTTTTACTCTCCCTCTCCTTCTTTCTTCTAGTAGTTGACTAGATTAATAAGACATCTGAAATGATGCACGGAATGCAAAGGACAGTTTGAATGTGGCTAGACGATTTGGACCTCTCAGATGACTTACCCCTTCTATCCAATACAAATCAACAAATGCACATGAAGACAACTGGTAAAGTAGCAGTCTATGCATCAGTAGGCCTCAACATATTCAAAGGCGAAAGCAGAATCCTCAAATACAACAATGAGAATACCAACCCAGTCACACTTGATGGAGAAACTCTTAAAGAGGTGTGATTTTTCAGGTACCTGGTGAGCATCATCGACGAACAATGTGGATCTGATGCAGATATGAAGGCAAGGATGGGCAAGCCAAGGGTAGCATTCTTACAGTTGAAGAATATATGGAACTCAAAACAACTGTCCATCTACCAATGTGAAAGCTAGAATCTTCAATACGAACGTCAAGACATTTGTACTGTACGGTGCTGAAACTTACAGAATTACAACAACCAACATCAAGAGTGTAGAAGTTTTTCAAACAATTATCTACACTATATACTCAATATCCATTGGTCGCATACCATCAGTAACAGCCTTCTGTGTAAGAGACCAAATCAGCCTCCATTTGAAGAGGAAATGAGGAAAAGACGTTGGAGGTGTATGGGATATACATTATGGGAGTCATCATGAGGTAAACCCTTACTTGAAATCCTGAATGGAAACGGAAAGGAGGAGGGCAAAAGAACATACTGTGACGAGAACTGGAAGCAGACACGAGAGGGTTGAATAGCAACTAGAAAGAACTGGAGAGGATTGCCCAGGACAGGGTTGAATGGAGAGTGACGGTGTGCGGCTTATGCTCCTCCACGTGGGGTAACAAGCAAATGGAGAAGAAGAAATATGTACTTGCAGTAATTTACTAATTAATTGGTGTTACTGTTCAGACCAAATTACACAAGTCTGACTGTAGATAAATCATATGAAAAGTAGCATATTCATTTATCATTCTGACTGATTTCCTTCCTCGTATAAATTCGTATTATCAGTCTCTATGTTTTAACTACACGTTGTCGAATTTAGGATTTTCAGTAGTAAGCACAAATAAGGAAATATTATTTCGTAGACACAAAAGTGACAGGAATAACGCATACTATAAGCGTTTCAATTTCTAGATGGTCGAGGGAATCATACTGAGGGAATAAGTTTTTTCATGATTAAAGGTATGCCTTGCTGACAAATGTCAACAGCATAAAACTTAGGTTCAGAATTCCCTTTCGAATACCACATAATCACCTAATATTTCAACATGTGATGTCAAATCACTTAGACTACTGACATCATTGACCAGCACTAAAGAATTCGACTAAATGTGACAGTAGATACCATTCAATGACCAACTAAATGTAAATATTTTTCATTTTTAAGCTTAAAGCATGATAAGAATGGATAAATCTATAAAAAATTTACATTTTATTTAAAAATAGAAAAACGTGGAAGTCATTTTGAATAAATAATTTGAAATCTATCTATATTTCACATATTTATTTATTTAAACACATAAATATTAGTACAAAGGGGCACCAAGTGCATATGCACTATACAGGTCACTTAATTTGTGTGTGGACTGCGTTACTGACCGGATGCTCAGACTGAACACAGGTGGTTTAATTAGGGGGCACACCTGGAGCCTTCAACCTAAAGGTCTAATCCACAAGACAGTGGAGCAACGTTAGGGGATGCAGTTCTATGGTAGCTGGTGAACAACGATCGGTTCATATGTCATTTGTTCCTTCAAGATCGTGGAGTCCATGTGTACCATTGGTTTGAAATGAGGGTTTTCCAACTCCCCTAGCTGAACTTTTCGTGTCCAGTAACCTGGTTGAAGCGTTGGACATTCGCTTTCTGTCCTCTCAATTCGATAAACAACACCCGTGCTGCGAGGTGGCAATGAGTAGGACTTTCCTGATAGTGGCTGTATATGCGTAGTCATGTAAGCGCATTTGGAGAGGGAGAGCTGACTCTCTCCATAGTGATCGTACCAGGGCATTTGGGGGAACTTGACATATTGATACAAGACTATCTGGTTCAAGCTGTTTAATCGAATCGAATAATTAATTAATTTGTAATAAACTAGACGTTTTGTATTTTTCCTGTGAAATTCATATAAACCGAGTTCATAAAATATTGAAAAATAATAAATATATGGATCATTCATCAGAATATCTACAATATGATGGTATTGAATAATAAATTATAATTTTGATGTGAACTATAGTTCATTAAAATTAAAACATTTTTTTATATTCTGTCTTATAAACTATCGTCATTAAAGGCCCCCCCCTCCCCTCTCTGAAAATCAATTTAGTTGCTATGTATATTAAAAACACTATTATACTGGGAAACTAGATTGCTACAGTCTATGAAATCAATTTTATTTTTATTTTACTACATAGATTATATAAAATCTTCAATTTAATAAATTATTATTATGCTGGTTCACAAGTAATAATAGAATAAAAATCATTGTATTAGCTTATATACAGAGTGATAGATTTCATTGTTGTTCAATGAACTTCTGAATTCCAGACATAATTCCGGATCATGAATATATACACATGATTTTTAATATGAATTCGAATAGATATAAAATCTAAGAGAAAAAATATGTCTCTTAAATCATAATATTCATTACTCAGTTAAGAAAGTTTAACATTTATACGAATATTCGTCAAGATTAGAACGAATAGTTTGACAAAAATTGGACTCCGAGTAAAGAGAAGTTATTATATGTGAAAATTATATTCTGAAATAATCTCAGCGATTGAAATTTAAATAATTCCAATGTTTCCTCCAGCTAACTTGTCTGGACTTCTTCAGGGTAATAATCAAAATCAAAATCATCAGAGAAATATATAGCGTTTTAACAATCATAACTATACTTGTGGTGTGTGCTATTTATAATGATATAAATAGTATATTGTGCGATTCAGGAATGTAACGTCTGGCAGCAGAAGATGAGGGAAGATCTAGAAAGCAAGAGCGGGAATAGAATGCAGTTTGTATGAAAATGTGAGAACAATGAAGTCTGAGGCATTTTGAGACAATTGGTGGACATTTCGCAAATTAACGATTTAATATATAATTCTCAGATTTTATTAAGATGCTCTGTAATTTTGTGTCAAATACATTCGGTTGTCCCCACCCGTGTTCTGTTCACTACATACTGTGTTACACCAATCAAATTGTAGTTAACTTACTCATTTTATCCTATTTTACAAAACTCAACATCTAAATTGGATTTTGATTAGTACCCTGAAGAAGTCCAGACAAGTTAGCTGGCCGAAAGGTTGGAATCATTTAAATTTCAATCGCTGAGATTATTTCAAATATAATTTTCACATATAAAGCTTAACATTATTTAAATTTTGGGTATTTTATTCTTAAGTTTGTGTCATACAAAAAAGATACATTTTGTCGTACCGATATATTATACTGTCACATATATGGCTAATTTAATTTCTCTTTGTTTATATAGTATGGGAACTTGAACTATTGTGTGTGCTGATGATGTTGATAGATATATAAGTAGTATGTATCATCAATCGAAGGTGAAATACATAGAGACAGATGGTTATAAAAATCGAAGAAAAGAGAACGAGTACAAGGAATGATTAGTGAGGAAACGAAAGAACAATGAAGTCTGAGATGATTAACTTATATTATGCAAATAAAGTATTTACTGTATGGTTCTCAGATTTTACCAAGTGATTCTGTAAGTTTGTATTCAAATGCATTCGAATGTCTTCACTTGTGTTTCTGTTCACTATAGTACCAATGCACATTTGTGCAAGGCTCCATTTTGATTATGACTTAATGACTGAATGATTAACAATCTAGTCTGTAAATATTCAATTAAAGTTAAATTGATGCTTTCAGATTGATCATAATGTAATTTTGTAATGCTTCACAATAAATAATTTACAGTATTAAATAATTCTTCTATTATCACTTTGATAATTATTCAATGTTTACTATTATTTAAAATAATAAACAAGTGATTATGGAACAGTATGGATTTAATCATTCACCATTCTTTACAGATTATAAAGATCGATGTTATTAATCTTCAATGCCTAATTTGGTATATGCTCTGTTGACTATTTTGTTGTTATTATTACCAGAAGGGGGTTTAGTGGAGATTTTTAGTAATTTAATAGTTAAAGCTAGACCATCATGGAAAAAACCCTGAAAGAACTGGACGACTGTTTCGTCCTACTATAGGACTCCTCTTCCTCCTCCTCCTCCTCCTCCACAAAACCCCCTTCTGATAATAATCATCATGTGCTCACTAGTGACTAACTTCAAGAGGTATTTTATGTTTGTTGATTTCATGTATAATTCAGGTTTAATGAAATGAACTTTCATCAGTGATTTGATTCAAAGCTAAATATTATCAATAAGTTAATGTAAGATATACCAATGTACTGGAGAAAAAAAAACTAAAATCTATATAAAATGAAGTCTTGAAATGAATTACATATTTGACTATACAGTTTAAAAAAAAACATTAAGGATTATCTTAGTTGGATATAAATCAGACTTACTTTTTGAATGAGTTCCCTTTAATACAGTTGCTTCTAATAAATGATTTAATAGTTTATCAATCGGTGAATATGTATTATCATATTCATTATATAAATCATTGGATTTTGGCCAATCAATATCTTGTCTTTGTAAATCTGATAAAAATTGTTCTACAATACTAGATTTTTTCTCTTTCCATTTTGAACTTAAGAAAAGAAGATAATCATTATGTTTGTTATCAGAAGGGGTTTTTATGGAGATTTTAGAAGTTTCAATGATTGAAATCATGAGTCAATTGAAGTGAGACTGATAGATCCTGGGTTCGAATCTTGCGGAGTGCGAGATCGTGGGTGCGCACTGCTGAGGAGTCCCGTATTGGAACGAAACGGCTGTCTAGTGCTTCCAGGTTTTCCATGGTGGTCTAGCTTCAATTGACTCATGATTTCAATCAGTGAAATTATGTTTGTTAAAAAAAGGATGAAATATTCAATGAGATGTTAGTTATTCTCTTAAAATAAAGAATGTTAAGAAAAAACGATATATTCCAACTCATTATCAAATTGGATCCTTTGATAGTGTTTGAACTTATAAGTGAAAAGTTACATTCTTCTAGGAGTAGGTGTTGGTAATTTTATTCAGAATGTCAATGAAACTTTTTCAATTAGATCATTTATATTAGGAGTTTTATGGATATTATAGTAATTTCACTGGTTGAGATCATGAGTCAGCTGAAGATAGACCACTATGGAAAACCTCGAAGCACTGGACGGCTGTCTCGTCCTATTGTGGGAATCCTCCACAAAACCCCTTCTGATAATAATTATCCGCTCACTAGTGGCTGGCTTCAGGAGGTATATCCAGGAGTACTAGTAAGAGGCAGTGACCAGTGGTGTTCAACCAGGTCTGTCGTGAGATAGTAGCTCACTGAAGACAATGGTGGATGTGTCGCTTTATTTCGTGGATTAGTTGAGGTTAGACATTAACACCGTTGGATGCTGGCCGACTCAGTGGTCTAGTGGTTAAGTGCTCGCGCGCGAGACTGACAGATCCTGAGATCGAATCTCGCGAGGCGGGATCGTGAATGAGCACTGCTGAGGAGTACCACAATAGGACGAAACGGTCGTCCAGTGCTTCCAGGTTTTCCATGGTGATCTAGTTTCAACTGACTCATGATCTCAACCATTTAAATCATTTATTTTAAGGAATTAAACACTACTGAAAGTATTGAAATAAACTACAAATCTGCATTTATTTCATAATCTACAACATTCTTGAAATAATATTTTAGATTATAACATCCCTTGTCAAGCAAATAAAAGTATTTAAATTCACTGACGGAATTAGCGGAGACAAATATATGAATATAACTATGATGATCAACAAGCTTTTACTTTCCAACTACAGTTTTCCTAAATGACTATAAAAACCATGTTTGGAGCTAATTTATTATAACCTTTTTTAAGTGTTTATTGTCAGAATAATTTGATAACAGTTTCATTCAAGTTTAATGGAGTCAAAAATCTGTTGTGATTGTTATAACGCTTGGTTTTTACTTCGTCTAATGTTATAACGGTCGGGTTTCCACGTTCGCACGTATGGGTCGCTAATTTACCTTAGACGAATATCTACACTAGATTCCCTCCCAGTGTCTATTCTACAGGACTTCAACACAACTCAGATCAAGAACACGTGATTAGCTTGGCCACAATGTAATATATTTCCACACTAAAACCCGACACAATCCAACAACAATGAACAATCAATAATAACAATATTAATAATAAGGATAAGGGAATATATAACTCATCATCATGTCTGACTAACCAGACAACCAATCATGATCATTCTCGCCCACACATCAGGG